TGAATAATAAATTATATGTTTGCCATTGTTCTAAATTTAGTCATTAGCAATGGTATTAATGTAATCACCAGGCTTTGCAATAAACTATCATACAAGCAAATAAAAATAAGTCAGAGACTTTTAAAAAGAGATACAGTGAAAAGAACACTAGACCAAGAATCAATAAATACTGGATTTTAGTCTTGACTACACCCACCTAAAAAGCTAGTTTCTTATGATATCTTTTATCTATTAAGTAAAGAAATTGGACTAAAAAATTAGAAATGTTATTTTCTAGAACTAAAGATTATGCTATTATAAGTCTTCAAGTCAAGTTCACAGAAAAACATTAAGGAATTCAAAATCATAATAAGAATTTTATAGTCGCTTTATCTGAATAAGCCTAGCTATATTGTCTTCTACTGTCCCAGTGGCACAGATGGGTGAGTCTCCCAATGGGTCCTTGTGTGAACAGTACTAGGCTGGAATCACAGATGAGGGGACCAATAGGCAGACAGGCCTGTCTGACAAGGCACTAGCATGCAGGATTCCTCCTGGACTCCTTGGCAAATGGTTTTGGTTTTGGTGGCATGCTCAGGGCCAAAAGAGGCTGTAGCCAAGCCCTTTGGGAAACGGAGAATTTCTAGGACTGAAGCCGGGTCCACCATAGGTGGATTTTCCTCCTCAGGACAGGTCTGTACTCTTAAAATGACCCTTGCAAGTCCATTTTACTTGAATTCCAAGGCTCCCGTGAAGAGACTTTTGTCCATGAATAGGTAAAGAATTCTTATTATTGTGAGGGGATACATGTGGGTGACCACCTATTCCACCATCTTGCTAATGTCTAAAAAATCTGCTCCTTTCTAAAATTCTTTTTTGTCTTTGGTTTTCTCTCCACCCCCCTTTGTTTTTCCCCACTTCAATAAGCTTGTTGGTCTACTTTTCTATTTGGGGAGTCTATATTGACATATCCTCAAGCTTACTGACACTTTGCTCTATTAGGTCCAATTTACTGATGAGCTCATTATTTTTGTTACAGTGTTTTTGATTTCTAGCATTTACTTTTGATTTTTTACTTAGAGTTTCCATTTCTGTGCTGCCATTATCTATCATTTCTTTTATGTTGTTAACTTTTTTTTTTTGAGACAGAGTCTCGCTTTGTTACCCCGGCTAGAGTGAGTGCCGTGGCGTCAGCCTAGCTCACAGCAACCTCAAACTCCTGGGCTCAAGCGATCCTTTTGTCTCAGCCTCCCAAGTAGCTGGGACTACAGGCATGAGCCACCATGCCCGGCTAATTTTTTCTCTATATATATATTTTTAGTTGTCCAGATCATTTCTTTCTATTTTTTTAGTAGAGACGGGGTCTCGCTCTTGCTCAAGCTGGTCTCGAACTCCTGACCTTGAGCAATCCACCCGCCTCGGCCTCCCAGAGTGCTAGGATTACAGGCGTGAGCCACCGCGCCCGGCCATATGTTGTTAACTTTTTCCATAGAGTCCTTAGCATATTGACAGTTATTTTATGTGCTGAGTCTGATAATTCCAAAAGCTCTACCATATCTGAGTCTGGTTCTGATGCTTGCTTTGTCTCTTCAGACTATTTTCTTCTTGCCTTTCATCATGGCTTTTAATTTTTTGTTGAGAGCCAGACATGTTGTATCAGGTACGAGAACTGAGTTAAGTAGACTTTTAGTGTGAAGTATTATGTTTATCTGTCTAGAAGTTAGGCTGTGTTTAATGTTTGCTGTAGCTGTGAGTGTCGGAGGCCTCAGTATTTTGTAGTATCCTCATGTTTGTCTTCTCTATTGTCTTTGGGTTTCCCTAGAAACTCTTTATTAAATAAATGTGTCTTGCAGCTTTCTCATTTGTAATTTACTGTTATTGTACTAGATATCTCTTGATGTGGTGGTAGGGTATTGTGAAGGGGAAGAATCCTATAATCTTAAGACTGAATTTGAGGCTTTTGTCATTTCTGAAGCGAGTCTAAGTCTCTGGGCTGTGACCTCCAGAAGTTTTTCTTGGTCTTTTTTGTCTTTTCTTTATGTGAGACAGGAAGATTAGAGGGGTTGACTTGTCTAATTGGGCTTCCTCCTAAAGTTTGGTAGGGAAACCCTGGTGAAGATGTTTCTCCCGCAGGCAGGCTTTTGATGAAGAGAACAGACCACTCTAGAATATATTTCAAGATGGTTGTTTTCTCTCTCCCCATGCCCAAAACATAAGAAGATTTTTTTTGTCTTTTACTATCTTCACCTTGAGAACCTGGTGGGGCTTCTGGATGTAAGAGTCATGAAAGTTTGTGGGTCCCCTTGAGATGGGGCCTGCAGAAGTTTTTAACTCTCAAGTTCTCATACTCCAGCTCCAGCAATTAGTCAATTACTATTTAAGATTCTGCTCCAATGGCTTCTGCTCCCAGTAAACTACAATTTTCTGTCTTCTCCTGTCTCTCCAGTTTTGGGAATATCAGTTTGCCCTGTGATCTCTGTTTTATCTAAGAGTTATTGATTTTTCAGTTTGTTCAATTCTTTTTTTTTGAGGATAAGAGTGATGACTACAAGCTCTTTACTCATCTAGAAATCCTATTCTTCTTTGTTGTTTTGCACAACCCATACAAATATAGTATAAAAACTATTCTTAGCTTTCAGACCATACATACAACAAGCTGCAGTCAGACTTTGGCCTGTAGATCATAGTTTTCCAGCCCCCAGTTTAGATTATTTATATTTAATTATTAGTATGGTTAGATTGAGGGTTATGATTTTATTACTTGTTTTCTATTTGTCCTCTCTGCTTTTCATTCCTCTCTTCCTCCTTCCTTACCCTATTTTGAATTATGTGACTACTTTCACTATCATATTTTCATTTCCCTATTGGCATTTTGACTATAACTCTTTGTATCCTTTCTATAGTGTTTTTTTTCCAGGGGTGATAGACCTAAATATATATATATAAACTTTACACACACACACACACACACATATATATATGGATATAGATATACAAATGCATATATATATGTATACAAATAGTTATTTAGATAGAGGTAGATATAAGTGTGTGTGTGTATACGTATATATAAAACCTACTTCAAGTTGATATTTGACCACTCCATTTATTTAATAAAATAGAGAAGCCTTATAACCATATAGATCCTTTTACTCTCTCCTTTAGGTTACAGTTGCCATACGTTATTACATGCACATTCATTGAAATCTACACCAAACAATGTTGTAATTTTTATTTTCAACAATCATATATATTTTAAACTTAAGGTGAAAAATTAATCTATTTACTTATATATTTATTATTTCTTTTGTTCTTCTCTCATCCTTCAAGTTCCAGATTTTCCTCTGTTATCATTTCCCTTTAGACTGAAGAGATCCCTTTGTCATTTCTTTTAGAGCTAACAATAAATTTTATTACTTCACTTGATAATATGTTAATTTTATTTTCATTCTTGAAATATATTTTAACTTTATATAGAATTATGAGTTGACAGCTCTTTTCTATCAGGACTTTAAAGATATTATCTTCTGGTCCCACGGTTTCTGATGAGAAATTCACATTTTTTTTAATTGCTCATATCAATTCTATTTTAATATTCTTCTTATTTGATAATGCCAATATTTGGATACCCTGTAGGTTGATTCTACTGTCTATTTTCTTTTATAGTTTTTGGTCATGTCCTCATGTCCTTGGTCTACTTGACAATTTATTTAAAGGCAAAGCCTTTGAATAAGACATTTTGTAGCTTTGGATCATACTCTTTCTCTATGATACAGAGTGTTGACTGACCACACTAATCCAATCAGAGACCAAATTAACTCTTGGCTAGACCATAGTACTTTAGGAAGGCCTCCCCATCCCCAGTCCTAGGTCTTAGCCTTACACAGATACCAACTAAGAACATGTAATGTTCACCAGGGTTCCTCCACCCAGCACATTCTAAACTCTATTTCCTATCTACAAAGCATCATAATACTGCTGGAATTCTCTGCTTTTCATGGGATTTCTGCTGGATTTTAGCTTCCTAGCTTCGTAATTCAGCAAATGCACTGAGTGAAAACCCAGCAGGGTGTTGTATCAGGGTGTTGTAAGAGGTATTTTTATACCTCTTTCTTCACTTTAATGACATGGCCTCCCTGTGTCCTAATTTTTGTCTCTTTAGGCTCATATGTCTATTAAAATATTGTGATGGTTTCTTTTCATCTTACTAGATTAGATATTCTTTGCCTGAACTCTTTGTCCAAATTCTCAGCTTCTTGCTAATGTCCACAATCAGCAAATATTCCCAGAGAAAAGGTGGCTGCAAAAAGTTTCCTCTTCTCTCTAGGTTTTGCCTTTCTCCAGGTTTTTGGACTTTAAATTCCTAGTTGCCTGAACAACTTTCTATTGCCTTTAAACAAATCTTTTTAAATTTTATTCAGCTCTTCTAGTTGTTCTCAATGGGAGCATCAGACTACCATAAGCTACTTCATTGTAGCTGGAAATAGCAGTCCTATTCTCTTATTTTACTTGCTCAGTTCTTTGGTTTCCAATTCCAGTTTTGTTCCCTAGTATTTAATATCGAACTCTGCCCAGTTCTTTGAATTTTGCATATTTAGCTTAAAGGAGATATTATACATGCATACTTTCAGGTATACTTTAATTACACTCATTGATGTCTGTAAGAAGGCAGACAAACCAGTGCAGGAACACAATGTCAGATCAGCTTTGCATGGTTCGTACTGCCTCTTAGTTGCTACCCAGTCTAATATAGAGTCTCACTTCTAGGTTCTGAATCTTTTCAATGTGTTTTTTTTTTTAGTACTTTATGAATGCAAGAAAAGTTATATCACAAAATATCATTATAATATCTGTGCCCTTAGTATACAAGTTGAAACTATCCTTTATATTTCTTTTAGATGTCCAATAATTCCAAGAATGATATGAACATATAAAGGTTACTGGATAAATAATTATTAATTGACTGAGAATTATGCTGTTGAATTTTGATGTTAAAGTCTAATATATAAGATTATATTTACCCATCATAGTCTTCAGTGATCCCAGCAAACTTCCCTGGATCACAGCGTATAAAAATTATAAACCCAAGTAGTATAAGTGATACAGTAGATGTAACCATTACAAATATCACAAGGGCTCTATAAGACATTTCTAATGTGGAAACAATGACACCTCCCAGAAGCTGGCCAAGTGCACTTCCTGGAAGTAAAACAAGTCCTAAAAAAAAAGAAAACGACAGTTAGAAAACAATCAGCTGATAGTACAGATAATTCATATTGATGCAATCCCCTCTGCTCTAAACATATAGCAAACATAGATTTAAATTAAAAGAGAGAGAGAAAGCTTAAAGCCATGATAAATACCTCAATAAACTTGAACCTTAAGAGAAACACAAACATGTGAGTAAGGCTGAAGCCATAGGCCTACTTAACTTTAGGGCAGTGATAGTGAAGTTTTGCTCTTGTGTAGTAATCACATCTAAAAAAGACCCGGGAACTTAATCCATGCAAAACAGAAGATAGGAGCTGTCTTATAGAGAGCTATTATTAGCAAGTTGATCGGACTTATACCTTATCACAGAAGGCATGATTATAATGACCAGAGTTCACAGAGATTTGTTAACGAGAATTGAACCAAGCCACTCATTGGTTCTGTGAAAGGATGTGCAATATTAACAAACTCACAACAAAGCAGGACTCCAGACCAGCCATGATAAGATTGTTTTCTAATCAAGCATAAGTAATTAGAAACAGACAAAACAAAGAAATAGGAGGAGGAGGAGGGAAAGTAGAATATATTAGAAAATAACCAGATGGAGATAGCATAGTAAATTCATACATTGATGCAATCCTCTCTGCCCTAAATATATAGCAATGATAGATTTAAATATGAGTATAGAAAGAAAAATATGACAATAACAAAAGAAATCATTAGTACTAGTTAAATTTATATCATAGAAGTATCTAAAGAAGACGTGAAAATAAACAATTTTAGAATACTCAAAAAGATAAATGACATAAAAATAAAATGTTCCATAAAAATAAAGAAGAAAAATAAAAATAGGAAGGAATAAAACAAGTGGATGAAAAAAGAACAAATAAGAAACGCAGATATTAAAAGATATAATTGTTACAATAAAAACTCAAATCTCAGTATAATCTTCAGACTAGAGACAACTGTAAGTAAATTGATGAATTGTAAATAAGCGCTGTGCTATTCACAGTGTGTAATTTAAAAAAAAAGATAGAAAAAGCAATGAAAGAAGAGTAACAAAAATGACTAGTTAAAAGACAATGAATATAGTGGAGAAACCTGGCAAACACTCCCTCAGCCAGGTGATCAAGGTCAAATGCAAAAGTAGTCAGTCACATGGATAGTATATCCCCTTGATAGGAAAATGGCATTTTACCTCTGTGGTCTTCCTTCCAAAACCAATAACCCCAGTCTAATCACGACAAAACATCAGACAATTTTCAGTAGAGGAACATCCTACAAGATACCTGACCAGTATTCCTCAAAACTTTGATGACTAGTACTCATTGAAACAAGGAAAGACTGAGAAATTGTCATAGCCAAGAGAAGCCGAAGGAGACATGACAACTAAACATAATGTGCTTTACAGGATGAGATCCTGGGACATAAAAAGGAAATTAAGTAAAAATTGAGAAAATTTGAATAAACTATTTAAATAGTAATAATGTGTTAATAATGGTTAATTAACTGTAACAAATCTACCATACTAATGTAAGATGTTAATAAAAGGGGAAATTGGGTGTACAGTACATGGGAACTCTCTATACTATCTTCAGAACATTTCTGTAAATCTAAAACTGTTTTTAAAAAAAGTTGTTTGCTAAAAAAGATAATAAGAATAGAATGAGAGGCTCCACAAAAAGTTTTATAGCAGTTGTGAAAAATATAATGAAAGGAATACCAGAAAAACAATATTTGAAAAATTATATTTGAGAATGAGAAATTTACCTAATTAATGAAATATTAGCCCTGGGAATAAATGTACACTCCAACTACTATTGAAAAATATTTTAAAAATTCATTTTTACAGATAAGAAAACAAGGTAGGAAAACTCCATAACATCAAGAATAAAGCAAAAATTGTAAAAGCTGCTAGAGAACATATTATTTGCAAAAGAATGATAATTACACTGATAGTTTTTTAAAAACATAAAATTAATAACCTAGACCAAACATGGACACAAACACATACACAAACAAAATCCTGAGGAGTGAGGACAGTGAACTGTCACTGGATAGTTAAAATCTCCTAAAGAAATCAGAGAGGAAAGTATGAATAAAAAAATGAGCCCATTGAGAGAAGACAGAATAGTAGGGGGGAAAAGAAGCAAAATAAAAGGGCAGTAAACAAAAAATACAAGAAAGAAGTTAAAAATTATTTAAACATTTTAGAATTCACAGTAATGATAAATGGATAAAACAACTATTTTAAAATCATAATTAAGTTGGATATTTCTTATGATGCAAAATTTGAAAATAAACAGAGAAAA